CTATGTTCTCCCGCCTTCCCGCTTTTCGTCTGGCTTGAAATGTTCGAGGTCTTAAAATTTTGTGCAAGTGTGGAATGAAAGCGTAATGAAATGTGTGTACACTCTGTTTGGTTGTGCCGAGAGTGGACAGTGCAGGCGAAGTGTGTGTTGTGCTCGCATTGTAGTGAACCTTCCGTACTCATGACTGAACGCTGCGTGCTAAACCCTCCGACGAGCAGCTGTGACCAGTGTGCGTTTTGTACACGCGTCATGCACAAGTTTCTGCAGTGATTCTGAAGGTTTCAAGTGTGTTGTGCGCGGTAGAAATACGGAATTAAACCACTTCGTGGTGGGTGATGATTCAGCGACAATCACAGATTGGTTCCTCTCAGCGACGCACTACCGCCAGGGCTGAATCACAAGTGTGCTGTGTTCGCATATCGTATTCCTAAGACTGCCGCAATGTCTCAAATTCGCTGCGCAACCCGAAGGCTTTATGCGCCCGCAATTCTCGTGTTCGACTTTCCCCCCTGGGAGAATTCTTCTGCAAGATGAAGGGACTGTGACGTCCCCGCGCAAACACGAGGACTGGGTGGCACCTTGTCGTCTACAGACCGTGTGACAGTGTAAGGTGGAGATAATCGACGCGCACCCTTCAGATTTGTGGCATGGGGGAGCAGCAGAGCACCTTTTGTTGGTTCGGGGAATGCGACTCTGCCGCAGCACTTGTGCCAGGACCAGTATGACTTTCCGTCAGCCTCCGTTGCTCCAGGGCTCATTACTGCGTTCTGCGCGGATGGCCGCCCGCGGCGGTGAATGACGAAGAAGCGGCGGCTACGGAGAATTTCGCGGGGGACACCGAGCTACATGGAAACGTTGAGACGTGGTCTGGACATCGGCTCACCAAGTACCGGAAGCATCGGGACCATTGTTCGCCCGTAATTAAAGTGTCTTCGGACGGCTCGCCCATCACTCTCCCTGAGGCTTGAGTTTGTACATTGTTACTTGCTCAGCTTTGTTTGGGAGAGGGTTTTCTACTGGTGCGGGCCGTGGGAGCGGCCGTCGAAGATGACACACACCGACTGACAGAAAGATATGCGGCGTGGAGTGGCGACTGGTTTGGTGCCCCGGTAGGGTGGAGTCGGGTCCTACAAAAAAAGGACTACGAGATGATACGAGAGGGTCAGAGATACGATGGGAAGAGAGTCAGAGATACGATGCGATGAGCTCGAGATGGTAGAGAGACGGAATGGAAAAGGAAGATAACGATGTGAAGAGATAGCAATGAGAGTCGATGGGATGATGACTGAGGCAGAGATGATATGACGAGAAATGAAAGTTAGAGACGGGAAACGAGGGAACGAGTGAATGCGAGACATTATGAAAGAATATTAAGATGGAAATCGCCGAGAGAGACAACGAAGACGACGAAGACGGTGAAGACTGACCACATGGACCATTCGTGAGACGAACTTCACCTCCTTTACTTAAACGAGCTTTGCGGGAAGGGATGCGGCATATTGAGACATTGCGCGGTTTTATTTATTAATGACTTTATCATTTGTGTCGGCCTGTGTTTACTTTGTGTCGTCACACCATTGTATTGTCAAAGTTATTTCCCTTATGTATCCTGCGTCGCACGTCGCGAGTGTGTGAATCTTGTGTTATAATTTTGTGTAGTGGTTGATGTACGTGGGTATACGATGTTTGCAGTTAGTATTAAATTTAATGAATCAGTAAACAGAAACAGGTCGTAGCGTCTCTTACTTCCCGGCCCCAGCACGAATTCCTGTATGTGGAAAGTGATTGAGACACGTAGCCAAGAGGGAACCGGACAGACAAGGGGTTGAGTGGTCTTCCCTCTCTTTGGTAATCGGTGGCGTAGCGGGAGACGTCTCACCAGCAAAGATATCATTTCATGTTCTGGGCAGTTGTCGGTTCCTTTAAAGAACCCCAGGTGGTCGAAATTTCCGGAGCCCTCCACTGCGGCGTCTCTCATGATCATATCGTGGTTTTGGGAAGTTAAACCTCACATATCAATCACTCACAACACTGACAGCGGTAACAAAGTGTGAAAGCTAAATCACCGCCAAAAATAACAAATATGCGCGCATTACTAAACCGAATCGGCCTGTCATCACCATGCATGGAACTTGCAGAAATCAATGCCATCGCCGGTATGACAGTTCCTGCAGCGCCATACAGCCGTACAATGAATATACCTACAGTAACTACGGTGACTTACATCGGCAAATAAAAATGCTAGAAAGAAAGCAAAATGCTGAGAACCACGCCAGCCATCGGATGAACACTACCGGCGCATAAGCGCGTCAGCTGCCCTGTCGAACAGTGGCCGCGCATGTTTTCGCTTCGTCACTGTCAGTGTTAAGAAATCCGTAGTGGACCTCACATGGCACCGCCATCGTTAAAAAAGTTTAGTGCTGGGAAGTACTACGCACAATGCGGAATTCAAAGTTACCCTTCAAGTGTGTGAAAAGGAGCACTTTTTATCACAAAAGTGTTTAATTTGCCAGAGTCCACCGCTGATGTACTTCCGTCACGTACGTGAAAAACATATACTAAGAGATTGCAAAGAATAAATCAGAAGGCAAATATTCTTTGCGCGGAATCGAGCCAGCAACTATTCGATACTCAGTGCGCGGATCTTACCACTACGCCACAAAATGTACGTTGTCTCGTCTGCTAACGGCAAGCCATTTATATACACCACATACCGTTTGGCAGCCCTCAGATCTTTAAAACTTTAGCGCGTTTACGTTATCAGTGGCGGGATGGCGCGCCAGTCTCGCGTTCGACGTGCTCTCAAGGTTGCCGCCTTCACAAAACACAGCCCCCCCACCCTCCCAGGACAGTACGTACTAGTACACTCTACCCACGGTCGCGCGGAGCGTGGTCGCTCCTGCGCGCGCGCTTATGAAACTTGTGTGATTCGGGAGAGGACGAAGGCCACTTACCAAGCTGACGTGGCTGCGTTTACGAAAGGAGCGCACTGCTGACACACGAGTAAGACTTGTGCCATGACAATTATTCCGCGGTCGTCCTGTGCATGTCAATTTCGTGCGTGCTTTCTGTTTGAGGTGTGCGCTGCAAGTTTCGAGGTGCTTTCCGTTCCTGACGTGATTTTGCAATCGGTTGCTCTTGCTGTAACAATGCAAAATAAATGGTCAAATACCTTTGTAAAGACATTTTCTGTCGTGTCATACCGATTATCATACAGGACAGTCAGCCGCATTTTCTTTGTTTTTCGAAAAATGGTGGCTCTGCTCGCTTTAAACTTTGAGCTTTCTATGGTGACTAAAGCGAAATTTTTGGCGTCTCCGAGAGCATTCTTCAGCCACTATGTTTCTTTGGCTGTCAATTCCCCCCCCCCCCTCGGCAATTGATGGAACTTGAGGCTTCTTGAGGCCTGGTATGGTCACATTCCGAGACATGGTGACTGGGAATAGTTCGCGTGATTCACAAAAAAGGGTCTGTTGTGACAAGGAGTTTCCGTGAAGTTATTACTTATCCTATGAAATTAACTATGGAGCTTAGGAAACCCTAAATTACGCAGTGTTTGAGGATGCATAGTTCAAGATTATTTGCTGGGCTTCAAAGTAAAACGTGCTGGACATACTTTGTCGATCATTTTAACATAATATAGATATCTGTATAGGGAGTGCTCATGTTGTGTGTTTTTGATTGCTTCTTACCCCAAATATAGCCAAAATTAGGAGGGCAGAATAATAAAATGAATTAAAATGGCATCAAAACGACAGTTTTGATGCCACTAGGTCAAACCTGAAGGTGAACAGCAGAACTTGAATGCTGTGCTTTATTGTTCATCGCTGCTGTTTAGGTTTGTCCCAACATATAGTGTGCAAAGTGTGAATGACTAAACAGTCCAGTCTACCTGTTCGTCAAAAAAAAAAACAATTGTATAGTTGTCAATCATTTCGCAAACATGCAGTTCAGTGAAGCAGCTCAAAATGATCATTTTGAAGCCTGTTGTAGCCATTTGGCCACTTGGAGTTAGGGAATGATGTCATGTTCTAGAAGGTATTTAATTACCCTAATTTATGTACAGCGGGCACACTGAGGCAGTTATTGAGCATACAAAAATGTAGGTGTCTGTAGTTGGTTGAAACGTTAAAAGGGCAATATTGAAGACGTGCATATAGAGAGGAATAAGTGAAATTGATACATTTATCATTGACGAATGGGGCGTGGCAGCTTATAGAATGCCGAAATATTTCAATGTGGCTACATATTGATGGAGATGGAAGATTAGGCTAATGCGAGAAAGGTTAGAGAAAGAAGGTGTGTTTTTCCCGGCGTTATGTTGATAATTCCTGTTTCTTTCTTAAGCCTGCGCACCTGACCGAACTCGAAGCTTCCTCACTTCGTGTGACAAAGCTTTAGAAAGCAAACAGGGGACGGCAAAAAGAAAATGATTTTGTGAGGATAAATGGCTCTTGTGAGGTGCGCGCTTCTTTTTAGCACAGCGCGCATGCACCAAAAACCACGTTATGGAGGTGTCAGCAGGCTCTTCCTGTGCCTGCAACTGGGCAGCCGGTTATTAAAAAATATGTTTTCATGCACAATAGCAGAGAAGACGGACAAGACTTGGGCTCTGGAAATATGTTTAAGCGAACTTTGTTTCTTAATGTATTGAAAGATACTGTTCAAGGATAGATAGGTAGTGTAACAAGATTTATTCATGTATTGCGATGTGTACAATGACTTTTTGGACATTTATCAGGTGTTTTGGGATGACTTGTTCTTGTAGAAAAACTAATGACAAAGAAGAGTACATAGAAAACGTCTTAGTTGCGGTGACACGCAAATCCTGTATCAGCGAGTGCAATCTGGTACGACGCTGTACCTTGGAGGAGCCACTGCTAAAAGACTTGCATATACTTTTGAACAACATTATTTGGGACAGCCCATTTTCATGAAAAAGTTTGATGGACCTGCGAACCAATAATAAACGAGGTAATTTCGGTGTTCTCTTTTTGTAGGTATCTTGGCAAAAGCAAATGAAGCCCCAGAAACCTACGAAGCCACGGTGAGAACCTTGTTGTTTGTTTTTGAAACGAGCTAAATCAGGAGCAAAATGGTAACTACTTATCAGGTACATTGATTTCGCACAGGAAATTCATTGGCGTTGCACGCGTAGACGCTGAACATCCTTAACGACAAAGAACTGACATGTTTATTCCTTGAAATAATTGCACATTTGAACTTTTCGTGGCTTCTAAAAGTACGAGAGAGAGCGAGTTGGAACATGTAAGGATGGGGGTGGAACATCATCTTAAATCAAGCATTCTGAAATCATAAATGGTAGTTTATCACATTCCGCAAAGAAGAAGGTATACAACTTCATCTTGCCGGTACCTAGCTACAGAGCAGAAATCTGGAAGCTAATAAAAAGGGTTCAGTTTAAATTGAGGACGACGCAGCGAGCAATTAAAAAGAAATTGACAGGTGTTATCCTACGTGCCAAGGAGAGAGCAGAGTGGGTCAGAAAACTGACGGGTGTTAAGAATATCATAGTTGAAATCAAGAAGGAGAAATGGACATGGGCATGACACATAGCGCATAGACAGGATAACCACTACTTATTCAGGCCAACGAAGTGGTTGCCAAGAAAACGCAAACGCGCAAGGGGGTTCATCCTTCATATAGTTATGGCGCACCACTACAAGGAAACAGAAGAGACACACACACAGCGCTAATTGGCAACTAACGTTTTATTTGCGACCACGCATGCTATTTGTACAACAACAGTAGATTGATGATGAACCCAACCAACTATCCCGCAACGTGCCTTATCGCAAGGGGGATGCAGAAAGTTATATTGGCCACTGTGATAAGAAGTCTGTGGGTACAACGCAAGAGCAGCAATCACATGACCGGGTGATTGGAGGTGGAACAATGGAGAGGTCTTTGCGCGGCAGAAGGCTTAGTCAAGCTAATCATAATAACAAAGGAGATCACTAAAAACAACCAAAGCCTCTTTTTGAATCATGGTTAAACACGGAGCTTGTGAAACGATATACGTGTATTGTTTGTATTTATATGACCATTATTGTTTCTTTCCTGAAAGTAAGCCTCTACATTGTGATGTCCATTCTATTGGACTGGCAGCCAGCCACTTTTGGCGATCGCTCATAATATTTCTTATATTTTCATTATTCTTTTGAGGAAGATAAAGGTACCATGATTTATTGATTGTTTTATTGACTCATTGATTCATTCATTCAATCATTCATTCATTCTTTCATTCATTAATTCATCAATTTAAATGTTTAAACTGCGTGACGAAGACAGCGAATCGGAGCCATAGGACACGCCCATACACGAATCGCAGTCTCCCATGCAAAGTGAATCAAAGCAAAAGTTCAAAGCAAATAATCAAGCAAAGAAGCCAAGGAATCGAGAGCGAAACAATGCAGTGCATATGTGATTTGAACAAAATGTTATGTAGAAAGTCCAAAGTAAACTTAGATAGTTTAGCGAGAATTTTGTTTTGTATCTGGTGCACACAGCGTTCAGATTCATTTCAGCTGAGAATAACTAACGTTAGTTTACACTGATAATATGACCACTCTTATAAAAGATATTTTATTTCTCGCTCGAGCTAATCAGTTGTATTTATTCAAATTTAGTGTCCAGTTTTTTGTAACATGGGCGAAGGGCGGTGACATTGTTTTGTTTTTGTTTCGTTGAAATATTCACTTGTACTGAGCATGCATTTGTATCGATGCTAAAACTTCTTTTTGCTTTCAATTCAAAGACTCCGGGAACGCACTACGTGGACAGGACATCTACAGAAACAGAGTTTGACGTGATTTCACAGGTGAGGTTTCCTTTTATCTCGTTAGGAGTCTGTTTTGCAAAGTTTGTGCGAAAAGTGGGAATGTATAATTTGCAAGCAATTTTTTTCTATGCTGTAATTATAATAGTGGTGCCCTCTACTTTATAGTGCACAAGTAGCCTTTGTGTAAATCAAGCATAATATCTCAAATTGACTCTTAAGGTGAAAGATATTGGGCCTTTACACAAGACGTTCTTTTTCCAACAAGGTAAACAAGGAGGAAAACGAGTTGACTTAGCTGAGAAAACAGAGTATATATATATATATATATATATATATATATATATATATATATATATATATATATATATATATATATATATATATATATATATATATATTAATATATATATACTTGTGAGCATTATTTATGCGTCCCATCTTTTTATCTGTACATACTCATCATCACCAGTCAAGTTTAGGTTGTGGGGCACATACTCGAGACAATAAAGAAGAGTCTTGAGGGTACTCGACGCCAACTTACAAGTGGTGAAGAGTGCTGCCCGGTTCCTGCGTCGCCTCACAATTTCGGACAACCCCAGCCTCTTCTAGAACACATCCCTGGAGCTCCGTTCAGGCGGCTGCTTAAACGACCTGGGTTCCGTTATGTCGCAAGCCGACCAGCCCAGTGCGCCAGCTTCGCCCCTGCTCCCACCGCCAAGAAACCCTTCTCACCTGGTCCCCAGCCTTCAAAAGGATCCTCCGCTGTTCGCAGGGCTTCCGGGTAAAGACGTTGAAGACTGGCTCGAGGAGTATGACCGCCTGAGTGTTATCAACAACTGGGATGACCCTGCGAAACTCACCCACGTTGCATTTTACTTGAGCGGCGTCGCAAAAACGTGGTTTTTCAACCACGCCACAGATTTTCCGACATGGCCCGCCTTTACACGTCAGCTCCACCAGATTTTAGCCAACCCGTCAGTGCGCTAGGATATTGCCAAGAAGAGGCTTGGTGCACGTGTTCATCGCCCCAGCGAGTCTTACACTTCTTACATCAAAGATGTTCTCGCCCTTTGCCGCCGCGTCGACAACTATACGGCGGAATACGACCGTGCGCGCCACCTGCTGAAAGGCATGGTGACTGTCGCTTTTAATGCGCTTGTGGTGCAGATTCCCCAGACCATAACCGATGTTTTCGCTACCTGTCAGTTCTTTGAGGAGCTTCAGACCACTCGGGTGCAACCTGATATGTCTGATCTGAGCTCAAGTTATGATAGAACAGAGCTGCGTGCATTGATCCGCTTTATCATCCGCGAGGAACTTCATGCACAGGCTTCACCTCGCCACCTTGATATTCGAACGACGCCACCTGCTACTAGTTTACGCGATGTCGTGAGGGATGAACTGGCTTTGATCACTGGTACACCAGTTCCGCGTTCACATCCCGGGCCCTTTCCAAGTTATGCTCACGTTGCTGCAACGACACCTGCGCCCCAGCAAAGCCTGGCCTCGATGACTGTCACACCTGTTCCGAGCTCATATCCTGTGGCCATGCCAACTTATGCTCAGGTTGGTGCTAGGACACCTACACTCCAGCAAAGCCCAATGCAGCTACCAGCACCCGAATTACATGGTTTGCTCAACTCACTCGCACTGCGATCATCTTCCCAGCCTTAAAACGCCTGGTGCACTTCGCGGCCGACTTGCTTCTATTGCGGCATTTGTGGTCATATTTCAAGATTTTGCCGACGCCGTCAGCAAGACAACAGACGAAGTTACGATGACTTTGGACGACTTCTGCCCCACTGGACCATCCTATCGCCGGCTGTACCAGAACAGCACACGTCGGTCGCCGTGTCCGCAGAACTTTGGCTCAGTTGGCAGTTCCCGTTTTCCACGTCGTCGCTCCCCTTCACCGATGCGGCATTCCTCTTCTCCTCTCCAACCTTCTACTTCAATTCCCGACCGCCTACTGAAAAACTAAACAGTGCAGTTTCGGGAGGGAAAGCTGCATCTTTCGAACGGCGTCAAACTCCTCCGGACCGCCCATCGAATGTTCTATTGAGGTATGTTGAAGGTATACAGACAGAGGCACTGGTAGACACAGGCGCATCACTTTCCGTAATTCGTGCAGACTTTTGTGCCCACATGAAAAAAGTTAGGACGCCATACGATGGCCCTCCCCTTCGTTGTGCAGATGGAGTCTCTATTCAGCCTTCAAGTGTTTGCACAGTCCGCGTTTTTATAGATGGCATCCTCCACCACATTCGGTTTCTTGTGCTTTCTTTGTGCACTCACACAGTATTATTAGGATTGGACTTCCTTTCTTCGCCATCAGCTTTCATATCGTGTCGTCAGCGAGTAATTCAAGTGTCAGCTACTGAGAGTTTATCCTATGTCGATCCATACAGCTTCCGTTTCGTTGTTGCCACTGATTGTTTCATTTGGCTAGAAGATGAACAAATTCTCTCGATCGCTTCGGATACTATAGTTAACGGTCACGTGTTCATAGCTCCATCAGTTTGCTCCAAACCTGCGGGGCTTACCATAGCACCCGGCCTTGTGCTGATTAACGACGGTAAAGCATCGGTCACCGCCTTGAACGCAACTTGTTCGCCAGTGTTTCTGCCCCAGGGCACTGCTGTGAGCTGCTTCGCTGACAGTGAGCTTTTTTCGCTGGTTCCCCTACACGCAGAATCAACGCCTTTGTCGGCTACAACTTATGTGAAGGCTACCACTGTTGCTTTAAATGACACCATAAGTCCTCACCTCACTGCCGTGCAAAAGAAAGACCTCTTAGACCTTCTCCAAAAGCACAGCCTTTCGTTCAATGTACATTCCAAAGTTCTGGGCCGCACCTCCGTTGCAGAGCACAGCATCGAAACCTAAGGTAGCTCCATTGTACGCCGCCACCCATAGCGTCTGTCTTCAGCGGAACGGCAAATAATTTAGGAAAACGTGGCCGACATGCTCAACCGGGATATTATTCGACCTTCATCTAGCTCTTGGTCGTCTCCTGTGGTGTTGTTCCGGAAAAATGATGGCTCTGTCCGCTTTTATGTTGCTTACAGAGCGCTCAATAAGATCACAAAAAAAGACGTACATCCGTGACTCCCTACAAGGCGCAGAATATTTCTCCAGCATCGACCTCCGATCCGGGTATTGGCAAATACCTATGCGCGAAGCAGACAAGGAGAAAACAGCGTTTGCGACGCTGGACGGGCTTTACGAGTTTAACCCATCAGCTGGACACTTAGGATTTCAAAAGACCTAAAACCGCGTTAGGAGCCATTTCTTCTGGCCTCGTCTTTCTACCTTTGTGGCTAATTATGTCGCTTCTTGTGCACTTTGTCAACGCCGGAAACGACCAACTTCAGCTCCGGCTGGCTCATTACAACCCATTCCATGTCGCGATACACCTTTTGTTGTTGTCAGAATAGACCTCGTGGGGCGACTTCCCGTAACTCGAGTGGGCCACCGCTGGATCGTCACAGCCGTCAACCACCTCACACGATACGCGGAGACTGCTCCTCAAACGCACTAGCTCTGCCTCAGACGCTTCCGCCTTCTTTTTAGAAGCCATTGTGTTGCGTCATGATGCACCTCGCGCGTTGTTGAGTGACCGAGGCAAGGCCTTCCTGTCCGCGATTTTCGACGAAATCCTAAAAACTTGTGGCACAGTTCATAAGACCATATCCGATTACCACCCGCAGACAAATGGCCTGACAGAGCGATTCCACCGGACTCTAATCGACATGATATCCACGTACATCGGACCGAACCTCGATAACGGGGATGATATCTTGCTGTTCGTAACATTTGCACACAACACCGCTGTTCAACGAACCACCGGGTATTCACCTTTCTTCCTCGTCTATGGTCGTGCGCCGACATTCACTATTGACGCCTCTTTCTTCAATGTAACGACAAAAACACCCACGACTACGCCAGAACATTTCGTCTCCAGGCTCGCTGAGGCACGGCAACGTGCTCAACTCAACACGGAGGCCAGTCACCTAGACCGCAAGCAACGCTATGGCAGCTTTCGTCGAGACGTCACCTTCCGTCCTGGAGATGAAGTACTACTTTGGACGCTTGTTCGCACACCCGGATTGTGTGAGAAGCTTCAGTCACGCTTTCTGGGATCTTACTTTGTTTGTGAATGAACATATCCTGTCAATTACCTTGTCACTCCCGTCGAGGATTCCTCGGACCGTCATTATCGTGCCTCCGAGGTAGTCCACGTTTGACGTCTTAAACCCTTTGTTCGCCGTACCTTTTCCGCCCAAGTCTCGTCCGGGCCGGCTGCTCAAGTGTGCGGGAAAAATAAGTGTGAGCTTTATTTATGCGTCCAATCTTTTCATCTGTACATACTGATCATCACCAGTCAAGTTTAGGTTGTGGGGCACATACTGAAGACAATAAAGAAGAGTCTGGAGGGTATATATATATATATATATATATATATATATATATATATATATATATATATATATATATATATATATATATATATTTATATATTAGTGAGCTAGTTTTTTAAACACGATAGTCTTTCTTGGGGACCTTCAACGCAAATATTTTGGTCTGGCTGTTCATTGGCCGGTTGGTCCACCCTTAACGATTCCGGGTACTATAAACGGCACCAGCCGATATCCCAAACGGCCGACCCCATCCGCAGCGCCCACCAATGTTGCTCAAGGTTCAGCGTTCATACTTGTGCGATTTTCAATTAAAGGCAATAATTGCGCGAATACCTGAGGCACCATAACAACACGTATAAATTCTGCATGTGCGTCTTTTACTAGAAAAGGCATACATAAGTAATTCAAACACCCTAGTGATTATCACGATGCGCTGACCATGCAACGCTTGCACGAAAAGGCAAGTGCGCAAGGCAACGGGTAGGTGGTGGCACCTACCCGTCGCCTTGCGTTCTACACCTTATCACCTCTGAGACGGGCGTGCACGCTCATGTCAGAGCCGCACGCTTCGTTTTCCGAGATAACTGCCAGATAGCGTTTATGCTTCACGTGTGACGT